AATGTCAGTCGTCCGCTGTCGATCAAACGTCTCGATGGGATTTCATCCTACCTTCGATTCTTCAACGGAACAGCCATCCCCCGGAACGAAATATTCGTCCACGGAACCCCCTGTTTCACCCTCCGTGTGGATGGCAGCGGAAATTTCGGTGAACTTGGAGGGAGCCAGAGCTGACTGAGCTCGAGAATCGGCGCCATCGGCGATAGAACAAAAGGCTTTTTTTGCTTCTAGGGAATCCCTTGACTCAGGAATATACAGACCAACGACCGCGCGGAAAGGCGAGTGGCCGCGAGTCCCCTGCCGCACGAGAGACCTTAAAATATATCTGTTGCCTTTCTTTTCGGTGCCACAAGCGACGGGAGCCCGCTCGAACGACCGCGTTGCGCGACTCGGCATGTGAAGGCCGTCGCGGCCTAAGAGGATACTCTTTGAGGATCGGTTGAGTTCCAATAGGTTCAGGATCGTTTAGGATTGGCCTTTGTCGGACAAACGGGTTGGAAGGGTCTTGACGACTGGTTCTCGCGGCTTCGGATTTCACGGGGTGACTCATGTATGGCTGCTTGTCCATTGAATAGAAACGGATCCGGTTCCACAATTAGATCTATCTTTCAGAAACCTAGAATATTCGCTGGTCCATCCGCTGGCGCACCAACGAGCGTCGTTCTCATCCCTGATTCATAGACTGAGATACAGACCTAAAGAAAGCGAGTGAGTGAGGCAAATTTTTCGATATACCCTTGTAGAATCGCATTCTGTGCGGTAAGCTCCAGACATTGAATAAAGCGCATCTATTTTTCAAAGGCGAACTCATTTGTTCTCTTCAATCGATGGGGACAATTTCAGGGACCAGTCTGTTCCAGGCGGTAGTTTTCGATTTCCTTCGCTGTTGGGAATATCGGGTGCGGGGTCCAGGTTCATACGTGAGTGCTGACGTGCCGGAAGACTTTAGCGTGGGATCCGGATGGCCTACGGTCATCTGCAGCCTGTGCAGACATCGCACATTTCACAAGCGTCGAGTGCGGCTTGCGTGGAATCTCTCCGTCACTGTCTCTGTTCGAGATAAGGGTCGCGTACGCAGCAGATGAAGTCGTTCCTCGACGAATTCAGAGCGGTTCAAAGTTTCCGCAAGCTTTCCATCTGTTTCAGTGAGACGTTTCCTTTCTCCTCGACAATAATGAACGCTTGGAATTAGGGTCATCGCCCTCAAAGCACAAAGGCGCGGAAGCGCGAATCTCGTGGGACTTACTCTGCGGATGTCCTGGGCATTGCTAGTAACGAAGTTCTGGGCGATGAAGATCGACCTTTTATGGCTGTTGGAAATATCTCGAGTGCCGTTCTCTCTGGTGTTCGCCAGCCAGGTTGAATTTGGTTTGTAATTGAACGACGATTTCTTAGCCAGCCGATTTAAAATACTGCAAAGCGCTCGCAATTGTATGGTTAGCTTCGCACTGGTCGCGAAGCGCACTGACATACCTAGCTGTGTGTGTCGTTCCGGCCTGAGAATGGGTCGGAATCCATGCGATTGAGTTTGTGACCATCCCTAGCACATGCGCGAAATTTCCAAGGAGCTTACTCTCGCAATCCGCCCAGGAAACCGTCAATCGGCACTTTATCGGAAGTCGCTGTCTCAAGAACATTGGACACCGATGCGTAGAAGTTGAAGACACATTGTTTGCACAACACCTCGACCGGGATCTGGAAGAAGGCCCCCTTAGGCTAGGAGATGACTTCTCAGCCATTGGGGACCGTCCCGCTCCCTACGAGCCGGGGCCCGAGATTGGGCTCCTTTTTTATGTTTGGATTCCAGAGAAATACGACTCTTCACCGGTGAGGATAGGGGGATCCGTTTGTCACTTGGAATTCTCTTGGACTGAAGATCCTTCTTTTGGCTGATCGGAGTGACTTGGCAATTCTCCATCACGGTCCTTCAGATTGTTCTCAGCGATTCGGAACACAGATCTGCTGATTGCTGGTAGCACCCACCTTGTATCGAGTCAGGAGCTAAATACAAAAAAGGTCTGCAATCGGAACATCGTTGATCGGTATCCACATGGATCGAAGGTGGCTTATTGAACCTTCTTGCCGGTCAGTGATCACCCCTGAGCACCTCAGCGACCGGAAGGACGAAGGACTGGCCTATTTTGATATTCGGAAGCTCGGATACCGAGCGTCCGAGAAGTAGAAGCGGAAGGAGACGACCTTTGCCCTCCTTCGATTCTCGATTCTGGCGGCGGATGAAAGACGACGTGGCGATCTTGGAAATCGAAGTCCATGAGGAATAAAACAGAGGATGACCGATCATACAAGATTTTTTTCCGGAGTCGTGTCGACTATGATATCTCGTATCGCCATGAGCGCAGATACTCAGTCGTGATGTATTCAGATGGAGGACTGAGGGAACAACCGTCAAAAGGAACATAGAAGTGCTGGATCAGACCTCGGACATGAGCCCTCGAAAGCTCTGATCGAGAGCGGCTCCGTGGAGAACGCGGCACAGGAACCAAAGGCAAACGCAGCTCCAGAATTCGCCCATGATCTCATCAGCCGGAATTTTCGAAGCCCACCGCGAAACGCCGAAATTCTATGGAAACGGACGCTCGAGACTCTCGGACCCCCGCTCGAAGGCTCACCTATTCGTCCACGTGATCGTCACCTTGAACCATGTGGTTGCCTATCTGCACGGTATTGCGTCCGAGAGCAGCGAAGATTTGCAACTGCTACGGCTCTACATAGTTTCGTCCTACAACTCTCAAGTTCTTTACCTCTATTTGCAACGAGTACAACGATCAGGCTCGATTCTACGGAGGCTGACGCGCGAGAGAACGACGGCTTTACTCACGTCGCTGATGCTCATTTTCTGTCTAGCGGTAGAGTGGAGGGCTTCAAAGCAACTCTTCCGTACGGAGACTCAACTCCAAGAGGGGATCGGCTGCTTTCGGATTGTCACCCATTTATCTTACACTATTCTCAAATTCGAAATGATCATCCTCCACGCCGACGTTTCCTGCGAACTGATTGAAACAGGCCGAAGAATCGACTACTCCCTGCGGGCTTCCAACCCTCGGATAGCGACGGAGGATTGCAGGAAGATCCTCCTCTCGTGTGACAGGGCAACGGAAAATCTGAGTGGAGCGCTGACCTCGATGTTCTTGGAAGTGGTCTCTCATCTCGTTCTCAGGGCACCTAGCGAATTAGCGTACTGGCAATGCTCATCCGTGTTCTCGCTGTGCTTCTTCAGAGTCCTCTTGCATACCCTGTCAATCTTTCTCGTCGTCCATAGAGGGGATCAGATATTGAGTCTGACTCGCAGAGCCCGCCGCATGATTCGCCTCAGCACCGACTACTTGGACAAGGACTCCCACGAGATGCGACTCTTCACGAGGGATCAACAGGGAGTGATGATGGCTTTCGGCGTTCGATTGGGCTGGAAATCATTCCTATCGCTTCTCGGTCTGTCGTTGGGCGGGGCTTTCACGGTTCTGCAGGTCGAGTCACCCGATGGACATTCCGTAAGCGAGCGCCGTGTTGATTCCTCTCGGGTACCTCCCTCCTTCCCGAGCTCTCCTCTAACCCTTCGTGATTTACTATTCGCGGCATGAAATTGGGAGCTCGGCTTCCAATGCATGAATTAACGACAGGAATATCGGGATGCTGACAATCGAGATAGACCTGTCAGCCCGACTGCTGGTTCCGAGTCATCTCATTTCCGCGACGAATCATGCTGAATATTATCCGCCGAGGGTATGCCGAAGTTGATCCGGCAAACTCGGCAAATCCAAAACTCCGGCAATTCCGGGAAGAACTCCGGCGCGGTCCTCAGCGCTCATTCCAGAGGCCGAGTGCGACGGAAGGGAGCTGCGAGCGCAGGAACGAAACTGCGATCATCATCTGAATGAGTGATCGAATGAAAATATTTCAAGAGACATATGGGCTCCCGAGCTCAGGGTGTGTTTTGAGGATCAGGCTCGGTTGCAAGGCTCGACCCGAGGGTCTGAACTTTGGCGCACCGCCTAGATTCTGACTTGATGCATCTTCATGAATTTCGGGCCGGAATTAGAAGCAAGGCAAGTTCTTTCAGGAATTATCCTTCCGATCGATCAGGATGGTTTTTGCTCGATTTTCGCTGTTTTTTTTATTATATTTCCGATTCTAGAAATTAGTATTTACAATTCGGCTGCAAGGTTTTAAGCAAGGTCCGTGACTTGATTCTCCCATTCGAACGGACGACCGACGAATGTGAGTGGACGGTCGCTCTTCTGATATACTAAGTAATCTCACTTTTTCACTCCTCTAACAATAGTTTAACATGAGAAAAAAAAATGACCCCGAAGGTCGCTCCATTATTATTTGCCGTCTGAATGTGCTGCTGTCGGAACATGTACTTGCGACGCTCGACTCCAATTGTAAATCTGACCTGGCAGGAATGGCTCCAGCTTTTCCTCGGCGAGTTCTGCAAAGACATACAAACGAACAGTTTGTCGCAACTCTGGATGAAGCTCGTGACCGCTCACGCAAAGGAAGTGAGGGACAATATCGCTTGAAAAATCCAACATTCGCAAAACTCACCGTTATATGCATCAGCTTTCGACGGCGGCCGATATCTCATCAGTCTGATTTGAGGCACTGGTAGGAAACCCCTGACGAGAGGTTTCATTTCTATGCTCGACGTATACTCCGCGGAGACTACGTCCCGGGGCTCAACAGAAAAAACGTCGGAATTTTTCCCGAGTAGTGCCCACATGCTTGGATCTACCAAGACTTCCAGATGGATTTGACCCCCTTCGTCGCCGTCGGGACTGAGTCGCTTTATGCGTATGTTGAGTATCACAGAAATCACTCCGCAACAATGGAAAACGTTCTCGTTCCGAAGGCTGGAATCTCTCCTACGATACTGATGGAATCCTCTCCGAATAGCAGAGCGCTCGAAGGAGAGCCCAGAGTCACGGAGGACGAGGCTGCGATGGCTTGGCTTCCGGCTTGAAGCGTGAGCTGAACGACCTGGTCGACACCAGCCAGCAATTCTGAATTCGGCATCTGTAGAGGGAATGTTTTATTTCAGAGGAATGCTTGAAAGCTTCAAATATCGAATTCGAGTCACACGTTTGGAAGACCGGGAATTACCTCAAAACTGAGTTTGCACTACTCCTGTATGATGTCAATTTTCGTTCTCAATAAACTGTTTTCCAACTCTTCGACGAAACCCAGATGGTCCCATTCCATGACGACTTGACGGAGTTCATAATTACCCCATTGGTTGGTTTTGAAGGGCAATTTTATGATATTCTGCCCTGGGGCAAGGTAGATGTCTTTGGCAAGAAATAGCGTATCTGATTTTACTCTGACGATATCTTGAGACGACGGTGAGCCGAGGTTTGCGCTGTCCTGGCGGGAGAGGACCCGATGCTGGTTGGAACACACAAGCCCTGCCGAGGGAAGGAACGATGAGACGATAGAGCGATGCCCAAGGATATTTATATACATATTCCGACTCCTTTCCTCTCGGGAGTCGGAAAGCACAGAACTCACCGACGTTATTATCAATTTCAAAGTGACGTTCGAATTTAATTTTAGAATCGATGAGTCATCGAGTGAAAATATGCCCGCGAAAGCGAAAGTCAAATTCTGTTTATCTGAGAAAACGAGTGAGCTTTAGATAATAATCTTTGCCGGCTGTCTTCCGATAATTCATGGCCGAATGAATGACAACCGCCAATAAATTAAAAGCGTTCGGGACACCAAATCGAATTAGGCAAAATGCTCGTATGTCAGCTCCGTGACGAAGTCAGCGACTCTGTCTGCGAGCGGAACACTCACTTTGAAAGCATCTAGTTTGAAAGATGCCGAGTACGTGCCCGTCTGACTGTGCTCGAGCCACTCGAAATCCAAACTGAAGCTGAGTATGAGAGGAACCGCAACATCGCCGTCGGATTCGAGCTGCCACACGAATGAGTTCGAATAGCCCGCGCTCACTTTGAATGGTTGGACCTGCAATGAGGAATCAATGGCGGACGTCTTTTCCAGCTCTGGGACCCAATGAATCCAAATGAGCTGAAAGCCCGATGGCCGCCCTCCTCCATGGCCTCACCTCAGCGAGGATTCGCGCCCGAAGCCCCGGCGGGCACTCGAATCTGGGGTTTTTGATCGAGAATATCTCCGCAGAATGACCCACGACCTCCACCTGCAGGAATTTGGCGGAATCGCAAGAATGAAGCTTGTGAGTCACGACGAACGGTGGCTTGAATCGAAGTCTGACGGAAGCTTTGACATCATCCCAGGCAGCGGAAGCTTGTAGCTCGTGGATCGCCCCTTTCGGAGTTTACTGATCATAGAAATGTTGTTGTTGGTGGTGGTGGTGTTCTTGTTGGTGTTGTTGTTGTTGTTGCTGCTGTTGTTGTTGTTCGTGGTGGTGTTGCTGTTGGTGGGGTGTTGTTGTTGGTGTTGCTGTTGTTGTTGTTGTTGTTGTTGTTGTAGTTGTTGTTGGTGGTGGTAGTGTTGTTGTTGTTGTTGTTGGTGGTGGTGTTGCTGTTGGTGGTGTTGCTGTTGGTGGTGGTGTTGTTGTTGGTGGAGCAATCGTGGTACCGACCCATGCGAGGGCAAGAGTCGCGTCCATTTGTCATGTATCTCGCACGGCGTCGGATCTCGGCCTTGCTCGAGAAGACGTTACGGCCGATCGTCTCGATGTTGGTTCGGAGGACTCACCGCCTCGGCATGAGTCTTCGACTGTCGCCGATCTC